ATTCCTGTCCAGGGGTGTGTAAGAAGGTGTGTGTCCCCCTTTTGCAGGACAAAGTATCAGCACTCTTCCCCTTTTGCTGTCGGTGGTATAGAAACTGGAGTCTGTCAAAGCACCGTAGTGATTCTGGTGATTACCAGCATGTCGACCATAGGGTCCGACTCCTCTGTAACCTCCTCAGCCTGTAGATTGAGGTTCTGCATCACTCAGTGAGGAGGCCTTAGCATCCATGAGAAGGAGGGAGGCAGTTGCCTCTGCCACTGTCTCATTGGGAAAGGAAGATGAGGATGACCACGGGCAGACCGGGTCCTCCTGTCCCTCCCATTCATTGGGGCCAGGAAGATGGTCTATTGAGTTGGCACTGCCTGTGTTTCACTGTGCCCTGAGCTGGGCTGTACCTTCCCACCCTGTTCAGGATCTCTGGAGACTGAACTGGCTGATGGAGTTCCATGGGGTACAGATGCCCGAGTTCATCGTGGAGCTTAGACCCTGTGCCTGGTGGTAGGCCCATGGGGTCCAGGATGGCCAATGCATGGTCCCCTGCCACTGTGGATGCCACAACATCTAGGGCATGCACTGCTCCAGGATCGGTGCCTAGATCTGGAGCAATGTCTGCTCTACCTGGAGGTGTAGGATTTCCCCTCCGTATCCAATGAGTATTCCAACATGAACCAGGGTGGAGCAGAAGCTGACAGTGCCAGGGATCAGTCCTATGGTGAGAAGCAGTGACAGCATCTTCAGGTTCCTTCTAATGCCTAATGGGAGGTGGCGCTGCTATCAGTCCTGCCAAGGTTGGGTTTTGTTAGTGCTGTTGTAGACACCAGTAATTGCACAGTGGCAGGTGGTGCCAGCATCAGTCCCGCTACAGCTGGTGCTGCACTCAGTGCTGATGCATGAACCACTGCCTCACAGGGCTGCAGTGCTGGAGCACAAGGCATCAGCCCCAGGGACTACGTCAACTCAGTCAAGACCCTGGCTGCTTCAAAATATGATCTGCCTGGAAGGCAGGTCCAGGACTTCTACACCCACTTTTTCTTGCACCGGGGAGTCACTCGCTCCAGACTCAATGGCCCTCTGAGAATGGCCAGAGTCGACGGTCGCATGGTGAGTGCGACAGGCTTAGGGTGTCACAACAGAGGATGCACCCCAATGGCATGTTGTGCTGGCGAGCAGCCTCTATCCACCTTTTTCTTCTTATGTGACAACAGCAATTGTGAGCTGTGGTCATGCTGGTACTGGGGCTTGTGTCAGGGATCAGTGTTGGTGCTTGCTGGTAGTGTCTTTTGCAGTACTGACGGATCCTCTCCTGATACCCTCAGCTTTTCCTGTTGTCCAGCCTAAACCTCCCTTGCTGCAATTAAAGATCATTATTTCTTGTCCTATAAGTGTTTAAGGAAATTGATCACTCTCTTCATTATAACAGCCATTTACATACTTGAAGACTGTTATGTCTCCCCTCAATCTTCTCTTTCTCCTGACTGGACAAACCAACTTTTGTCAGTCTTTCCTCATAGGCCGTGTTGCTAGATCTTTAATAATTTGTGGTGTTCTCCTCTGGGCTGTCTCCAATTTGTTCACATCTTTCCCGAAGTGTGATAACCAGAACTGGACACACACAATTTAGGCCTTCCAAGTGCAGAGTAAAGTGGAAGAATTACTTTTCATGTGTTGCTTATCACGCTCCTGCTAATTCATCCAAGAATAATGTTTGCCTTTTTGCAACAAGAGTGCATTGTTACCTCAGTTTGTTTGTGATCCATTGTAACTTCTAGATCCTTTTTTGCAGTACTCCTTCCTAGGCAGTCATTTCCCATTTTGTATTTGTGCAATATATTATTTCTTCCTAAGTGTAGTACTTTGGATTTGTGGGTGAACAGGTGGCTGGAAAAATCACAGAGTAATTATCAATGGCTCACAATTGAGCTGGAAGTTCATGTCAAGTGGGATCTTGGAGGAATCCGTCCTGGGTCAATTTCTATTCAATATCTTCATAAGTGATTTGGATATTGCCACAGAGAATATGCTTTACTCTGCTCCTATATATAGCCAGAAAATAAGCCAAATAAGCCACTTATGCTTAAAGAAAAGGTTCTCCCTACAGGCATGTTACTGCAAAATTACAAGGCTTTACTCCTTTTTCCTTAACTCGCCTATCATGGGCAATTGTCAGGCTCCTGGGTTAGATTAATACTTTACACTTACATATAACATCATTCATTTAAGGATCTGACAATGTTATAAAATAAGGACAAAAGAATTTGTACTATCAAACAGAACTTTGGCCTTTGTTATCTAGTTCAGAAGGTTCAAGTATTTTCTGTAAACCACTTTCTGCACTTTCCTCTATCATTAATAATTTATAGTTCACAACCCATCCTGATCATCAATATACAATAACTTGTTTGTAATGGTTTATCCTGGTTAGTAAAGATTATTATTAAATATTGAAAATACAGTAAAGTGGTAACTCTGTCCTTGTTAACCCCAAAGAAGTTTAATAAACAAACTAGATTGAAATTGCTTTATTATCTCATATGCAATTACAGCAGCTGGAAGCAAGATCTACCACACAATAAGAACTCAGAATATCCTTGTTTAAAAAAAACCAAACAACATTTCCAGAACCATTATTCAAAACACCCAGAAATAATCCCCCAAACTTTCAAACTGACATTACACACTTTTGCCCTCCATTTGCTTGAATTTGTCGACCCTCATGAGAGGAGCTGTTTCCTTGCTTTGCATGATGACATGCACCCTGTTCTTCAATGCCTTTGGCACCCCAGCAAAGGAAAGTTTATAGGTGATAAATGCAAGATCTGAGTCAAAAGCAATAAGTTGTAGGCAAGATGCCCAACTCCTACATGACGCACTTCATGATTGCTGTAAGACGCTGCACTCTTCCTAGTGGAAAGACAGAGGACAAAAATCGCTTATGTAGAGTGCTTCCTTCATTAGCTTTCCTTGGAGGATGTTCTGAATGAATGTTGATGATGCCATTGTCATTGATAGCTCACTGAAGGAGAAGTGTTCATACTGAGCAATCAACACCATCTTAAACAATGAGGTCATGAGGCAAAAATCAAACCTGATTGCTGTTTGCAATCATGGAATGAGAAGGTGAATGAGTCACAGATAGAGAGGGAAGAGTTCCTTCAGTCACTTGCCCTCCCTGTGGGGAAAGAAGAGGGGGTGATGGGTACATGAATTTGTTAATTTAGTTTTGTAGAACTCCTTTCTAGCTCACTTAATCACCCATGCAAAGAGAAGTCTAGGAAGTAGGAAATCAGTCACACAGTTCAGACACCTACACCAGATGTTTTACATATTGATTCATGACACCTATCTGCATCTACTCTCACACTACTATTCAATGTATGGCATGCACTACGTGGAATGTCCCCATCTTTCTTGCACCAATATTAGTGCGCAGGGTGGAAACTCTCTCTTCAATTCATCTCCACCATTAGTTGCTGCTTCCATCTGTGCTATGGTGTTGAGATCAACTCATCTGCCCTCCCTGCGTAGTTGGTTTCCATTTGACAGCTTCATGTGGGAGTCTGTGTGTTGTCATCTGGTGTACATGTTGCAAATCGGTCTACTGCTTTCTTTTAACTTTAGGGGAGACGAGCCACTGGCTGGCGGTTTATCGGATCTTTTTGTTGATGATGAAGTTTGTCCATCCACCATCCAGAATTTTTCTTAGGCACTTATTTTCAAAGGTGTCTAAGTTTTCTAACACTGATCTCCAGCTCTTGCTGCCACGTTAATACCAAATGAGATAAAGACAGAATTGAACATTTACAGGGTTTTTTTTTTTTTTTTTTTTTTATAATTTATGGAAATCAAAGAGATACAATGTTTATTTTAGAAAATGGTATGGATGCCTTTCCAATTCTTGATGTCACTTCTTTCTTGAAGTCACCAATGGCTAGTATGGTGCGGCATAGGTAAATTAATAGCTATGTTTCCTGAATGAGTATGCTTTCTAATATTTCTGTTTTTCAAGAATCAATCAAGGACATATTGAGTAAGATGACCTGTATCTTATGCTGCTGCAGGTGTGATTTAATGGTTTTTATTTTGTCATTTGATGAATGCCAGTTACAGATAATGTTCAGATCACTCCAGCAACTAAAGAATTTATAATATGAAAGATCAAACTCATTTCTAAAGATAAAAGGAAAATGAATAGCCCTAATATCAATTGATTAGATCTCACTTTATTTTCCCATAGTGTTAGAAAGCAGGAAAACAATATTCAGGGACAGTTGTGCCTGAACTGGAATCTCCGTTTTTTTGTAGAACTGAATGCAAGCCCATGTTCTCAGCATCACTTAAAACAAAAATCCAGAGCATAAATGTATGTCAGCTTATGACACTAATATCTGTGTACAGGTATGTGTGTGTAATGCGTGGCCTCTGCCCAAAGAGTTAATAATTTAGAAGCAAAAGACATGTGTGATAGGAGAGATGACATAAGGAACAATTTATGGATGGATGGAGGAACACACAGAATAAAGTCACGAGGCTGCTTGTTCTGCATGGTAGCCACAATGATAGCTTTAAAAAGAAAATAGTTAGCCAGCTAATAAGAGATCCAGTACATTTCTTTAGAGGGAAACAGCTGGTAGGTAAGCTAAAATGGGGGCCAGTGTTGCTCATAGGCTAGTAAAAGACCTACATTTAACACTTTCCAAATTAGTTTATGTATTTTGAGCGAGTCTCCACCTAACCATAAAGGAAGAACAAAAATCACAATTCTTCTGCCAAGGCAATTCTCTGGAGCAATATCGAAAAAGGCCTTTGCAAATGGAAAAAAAAACCAGACGTGAAATAGTAAGGGAAAAACACCAACATGTTTAACTCAGCTCAGCTTTTCTTTGCAAATTAACAACTGGATGGAAGTTTTAGCCTTCACTCTTTTCACTGTCCTGGCACAAGAACCCCCAAGACAACATGACAACTCATCCATCCAACTCACAAAAGGAAAAAAACCATAACATTTAATATCAGATGTTCTGCGTCAAGCCTGCTAAGGCTCATAAATCAGCCATCTCACTGCCCTGGTCATTTCAACCAATGTCTGACCCTTTCGTTAACTCATGATTTATAACTGGAAGTTATTTTTTATGCCAGATGTATAAACTTTACTGTGCCTGGTTTGATGTAATAGTCACGTTGTACACTACACAATGACAATAAATTTATTGTCTATGAACTGTTACCTTGAAAAAATTACATCAATGCAAAGTGGTTTCCATTTAGAATCAATGGGCAATAAATTCATTGGATTTTTTTGGATGATGATTTTTATGAGGTCATGAGTGGCTATATAATGGGTGAATTGGGGAGGAGAAGCACCAGTCAGATAGCAGTTTTGAACGACAGGGTCAACAAAGACGCAGCAACAATGCATAGGCTGGTATTCTGCTGTCTTGTTATTATCAGCCTCTCATGTCCTCTCTTGTCTCTCCCTGTTATCGACTCCAGTGAGATGTCCTATCAGCGCTCAGGTAAGACTTTTTTGCTTTTAGTGGTCAGAAGCTTAGCAGGACACTGGGCGGTAATGCCAGATGAGTAGCAGGCAAATTTTTTCAGAAAGGATCTTTTCCTATCTGTTTTCTCCAACTTTAGCAAAAAGCAAGTGTTTCTTCACAATGTTAGAGGCACAACTAGAATCAGCAGCTAACGAGTGCCCTAAATATCCCTTGTTATTGCCTTCAGATCCTGAATGCAAGCTCTCTGAACACTGCAACATCAAACATGAGCTGACTGCCATTGGATTCTACTTAGAGTAGCCTGGGGTGCATGATCAGTTCCCCTAACTGTCCTTTAAGACTTGTGATTCATTATTTTTTAAATTTAAATATATCTAGAAAGAGTGGGAGAGATACTGCAGAAATTAATGCAGTGACCACTCCCATTTTGGAGCGAAGGACAGACCAATTTTGGCATAAGTCAGCAGTGAAAATTAGTTTAGTAATGTGACATTTAATATCCTAGTAGATATCTGCTCACATTATGGGGACTTTGTTCAGTTTTGAAAGAGGAGAAGTTTCTGCTTAGGAAATCCAAGGTTTAGAAAAGTAGAGGTACAGGAGGTCGAGACTGAGGGGCATAAATAAAACAATATAGGGATCCAAAAGGGGAATAGAGAGGGTACCATAGAGTCAGGATGGAAATGTATGAGCAGAACTCTGAGCTAGGGCTCAGGACTGGAGGATCAGGGAATGCTGCAGGTTAGAAAGCTGTGCACAAAGAAGGGACTGTGCTTACCTGCCCTATACCTAGAGTAATGTCATATTCTTTTATTGGAGGCACTGCTGCTATATTCGTGTACAATGACTGACAGACACTAAAGTGGTTTTTTAAATATCAATAACTCCGAAATTTAAACAAATATCTTTACAACCAAATGTTCTCCTGTGTAACTTGCAATTTACAGCCAGCTGTCATTCAATCCAGACATTGTCCATCACATCATATGGTGAATGAGCTGGCAGTAAGCATTAATATCAACTGCATTTGTTTGGAAGCATGCATTAAACTTATTAAATCTCTACTAATAAAAAAGAGCCTTCTATAGAACAAAGGATGGAACAAAATCAGGAGACTATATTCAACTATATATTTTTATCTGAAACCAAAGCATTGCTAGGGAGAAGCTAAGTATATTAGAGTAATTGTGTGAAACGTCTCAGAATATTGCACATGGAGGTGGCAGCTGGTTTAATGCAAAGATTCATTTCTGAAACTTTTCAGTGCCCTGTGCAACTATCCCATGGAGATTTACTAGGCAAACTACAATATTCACTTATGGCCAAGGATTTTTTTAAAATCTTCATAACCATTTTTTCAAATAGAAGAAACATTTTCATTGCTTGCAGATTTTTAGTGCATTGTCTATATTAATACAACTGTGCAATTTGCCTATACTTCCTGAGTAGTTGGAATTCTGAACTGCTCACCCAATGATGTGTCTGCAAGATTTTCTTCCTCTGTCCAGCCAGATTCTCTCTGTCCCACTTTCCACTGTTTTGTATGACTGCCATTGCTAGCTAAGATGTGATCTGCTTATCTGAAGACAATATTAGTGTATATATGTGCCACTTGCACGTAGGGTTCTGGTGGCAATCTGTGGACTGTTCTAAGAACAATTTATATAATTCTCTGTGCAAATACAAATACATTATCTTCTTTCTGAAAAAAATGAAGTACGTAACAGTACAGGCCTGACTTGCAGTGAATGGTAAAGATGGCAGAAATATATTGGAAATACAGCTACCATAATGTGTTTCTCAATGTCCTACAAGATTGTTATTGCATTTAACTCTTGTAAAATTGAATAGGGTGACAAGCCTGGAGCTTGAATTCTATATTTATCTACAAAAAAAGACACAGCATGGGTAGTATTAGGGCTCTCAGATACTATAAGGATGATGGAACCATATCGATAGATTGAGAAACACGTGCAAGAAACCCAGTGGGACCCTGAGATTATCTTCTTTTAGAAAGATAAGAGGGTATCTTGTGGGCTCTTGTGGAGCTCTAAGTCCTTGATCATTCTGAAGAAACTGTTACCTTGTTTTTATCATATCCTGTCTGTTTAGAATGAAGTCAGTTCACTTCATGTAGACCACCGTACAGTCATCTGACAGTAATATTTAGTTGATACTGAATTGGGGTGGATTCAGTCCTGCAACCTAGAGAGCTTCTACATTCTATAATCAGCCCTTTGAGATAACAACAGGCAGTCCTGTGGTATTTTAGGGACTAAAACATATTTATATCATCACAAGAGGATAAGAGGGTGTAGGAAGAGTGGGTAAAACCCACTTCAGCAGATGAGTGTTTCTTTTAGCATTACAGATGCTCTGAAAAGCAGCAGCTTCTGTGCTTGGGGCTGTAGGTACCCAGGGCCCCAAACCAATGGGTGGCTTATTACGCCTAACTGGGTGAATCTGTTAGAGCAGTGAGAACAGAAAGACTGCACAGATGTAATATCAGTAGGGTAACTCATGTGCCCAACAAGGCAAACACCACTGCATTTGCAGTCATTCGATAAAGGCCAGTGATCTATTCCGTCCAATGTCTCCAAACCACAGGCCTGTTTCGGAGCCACTGGACTGAACGGATGTGGCCCAAAAGGGAACAGGGTCCTGAGGTGGGTGTCACCCCATACGGACTCTGATGTCTCCTTTAAAAGTCTTTTTCTGCCAACAGCTGATGAAGATGCAGGATTAAATGTGGAGCAACTGGATAGCTTGGGAGGAGCTTCTCTGTTTCAGACTTTGCCAAAGCTCCTGGGGGCACAAACTGAGCACAGTCCCAGCAAAGCAGGTAACGGTTCCGCTCCCCTCAGTTCATACACAGAGGTGTTCCAAGGTACAACATGCCAAGGAGCCCTTCTAAAAATTCAGCTTCTTTGAATAGCATGAAATAAGGAACATCCTGCAATATGAATCTGCTGTAGAGCGCATATGGGCGAAGCAGCCAAAGTTCACGGTCTGCAGAGAAGCCAAACCCTACCCGCAGGAACATCTTAAGTCAGGGAGGAGAATCAAAGCACCATGAGAAACAATTCCATTCAGAATTAATTAGCAGTGAAAGGACGTTGCAGCCCTCTAAGTCAGCGTGAATCTTACTGAGTGGCTGCCGACAACTAGGAGGAAAGGAGCTCCTCTTAGGTCTGGGAGTGGTTAGCCGAGCCTTACAAATGTCAGAATCAGTTGAAATGCACCAGTGTTTTCAGAAAATCTATAAATATCATGATACCTCTCTCCTGCAAGAGTCATTGTAAGATGAAGTAAATGCTGCAATACCACTATCACAGACACATTAGGAGTAATGCAATATGACAAGCACTGCCCTACATCAACTGGTATTTGGTCTTCTGAACTTCTCTGCTTTACCTCTTTGATGGGTTATATGGCAATCAGAAGTGAGAAGGGAAGTGTCTTCATTTCTAAATTAAGAAGCATTTCATTCTTGTTTTTCTAGGTCTCAGCCCCAGCAGCTACAATCCAAGGGAAAATGTGAAAGAGGTAAGTACAAGAAAGAGATCTTGGAGTCATTGTGGATAGCTCTTTGAAAATATCCACTCAATATGCAGCAGCAGTCAAAAAAGCAAACAGAATGTTCTGAATAATTAAAAAAGGGATAGAGTCTAAACAAACACATTAAAAAGACTGGGACTTTTCATCTTAGAAAAAAGGAGACTGAGGGGGGATATGATAGAGGTGTATAAAATCATGACTGATGTGGAAAAAGTGAATAAAGAAAAATTATTTACTTGTTCCCATAATATAAGAACTAGGGGTCACCAAATGAAATTAATGGGCAGCAGATTTAAAACAAACTAAAGGAAGTTTTTCTTCACACAGTGCAGAGACAAACCTGTGGGACTACTTGCCAGAGGATGGTGTGAAGATCAGGACTTTAAGAGAGTTCAAAAAAGAACTAGATAAATTCATGGAGGTTAGGTCCATCAATTACTATTTGCCAGGATGAGTAGAAATGGTGTCCCTAGCCTCTATTTGTCAGAGGCTGGAAATGGATGACAGGAGAAGGATCACGTGATGATTACCTGTTCACTCTCTCTGGGGCATCTGGCATTGGCCACGGCTGGAAGACAGGACACTGGGCTAGTTGGACCTTTGGTCTGATCCAGTCTGGCCATTCTTATGTTTCTTAAGTGAATGACTAGTGACTGTCAAAATAAGAAACCTGAAATCCACATTTTAGATTAAGAAATGGATAATAAGACACCCTTTACCTTAAAATAGTTTAGATCAAAGTATGGCCCCACCTTTCTAGAGCAGAAAAAGGAGGTTGGAAGATAATGACAGAATACTGCTAAGTTGAATAATTTTAAAATATTTTCAAGACTAGTTACACAGATTTAGGAGAAACAGAACATTTCATCTTAATTTTAAAATTCCAGCCCTTTCCTGAAAAACGGCCTTCTAAATAAAAGACCAGTTCCAACCTTCACGGGCAGCTAAATTGTGTGCATGGATATAATGAGATTCAATAAGGACTCCCACTATGGATGGCACTTGTGCACTGCAATGTGTGCAACATTAGTACAATGATAATGGTCTAATTGATGATACAATATCATTACTATTGGCCATAGACTGATCCTTTAGAGATGAAAGCAGGGAATTTGATTAGCCCTTTGGTTCACAAATGCACACTGAACTGGCTGTCTCTCTGGGGTAGTCGGAGCATGGAGCCTGATCAGGGATGGCAGAGGGACTGCATCTCATTGTAAGTATTTTTCCGAGGATTAATCCCATTCCCACTCATTAATCTGCATAATGTTGCTTGATTTTAGGTTTTCTATGGAAGTCACCCTCCAAATGCTTTGCTGAGCCGCCTGCTGGCCAAGGACAGGAAACAGAATAAGAAACGTGGGAACCTCTCCGAGTGCTTCTGGAAATACTGCGTGTAGCTTGAGGGGAAGGGAGAAGGAACTCTTTCCTGATCCTGGCTGCTTAATTTATAAAGATGTTAATAACTGTCCTGGAAACATGTACATACATTTGCTTGTTTTAACATGAGGAGAATACAGAAATGTAAAGCTGACTCTTAATTCTACATTCCACGCTGTTTGGAGATTAATAAACCCTCTATGTTTTGAAAATACCCTGTGAGCAATGAGTTATTTTCCTTCAGAGATTCCATCTCTAGTGGGTACTAGGTGATGGGGCAATTAGGGGGAAACAGACAGCTGGAGAGGGACCAGTCTTGAAAATCAGGAATCATAAGTATTAGCCCAGTTTCTGAGAGTCTGTAACACCGAAATGCTGGCTGTTCCCTCTGGGCGGCCCATGCTGCATGGGGAGTGCGGGGCCCAAACAGCCGCTTGCTCCCCTGCCGCGGTCTGGCGGAGCGGCGCAGAAATCAGCTGAGCACCATGGCGGGAGAGGAAGGGGGCAGGGCGGTGACGTGCAGCATGACAGTGGCTCCAGGCCCCGCCCCTTGGCCGTGAACATCACTGCCCTGCCCCCCTTCGCCTCCCGCCATGGCGCTTGGCTGACTTCTGCATCGCTCAGCCGGGTCACCGCGTGGGAGGAAATGGCACAAGCGACCGTTTGGGCTCCATGGTCCCCATGTAGCACGGGGAGTGCAGAGCCCAAATGGCAGAGCCCCCCGAGTGAGAGGCAGGAGAGGGAGGAGAGGAGAAAGAGAGAGACAGAGAGAGAGGCAGGAGGCGAAGGAGAGCTGAGAGAGAGAGGGGGGAGGCAGTAGAAGGAGGAGAGAGAGAGAGAGAGAGAGAGAGAGAGAGACTGGAGGCTCAGGAGAGAAGACCGATGTGGAGGAGAGACCTGAAAATCCTGTCTTATGACAGGCTAATTGGCTAGTCTTATATATAGTAGCCCAATGTCTGAGAGTCTGTAACGCTGAAATGCTGGCTGTTCCCTCTGGACGGCCCGTGCAGGGCTCAAACGGCCACATGCGCCACTTGCTCCCCCGTGGCGGCCCGGCTGAGCGGTGCAGAAGTCAGCCAAGTGCTACAGCGGCCTGGACAAGCGTGCATCCCCGACGGAGACATAGGAGAGCAGAGGAGACAGCGAGGAGGGGGAGGATAGCAAAAAGAGAGTGAGAGGCAGGAGAGGGAGGAGAAGAGAAAGAGTGAGGCAGGAGGGGGAGGAGACTTAAATACAAATGAAAATTTTTAATTATTAATGCATAATTTTGTTTAAGAATGACTTACAATATAATTAAAATAAAAATTATCCAACTAAATTAAGTTTCTATCAAATTTACCCAATTCACATTTAATATAAAAATAGCCTTCAATTTGCGCATTTGATGCCTTTTTTCTATTTTTTCTTGAAAACCAGCAGCACTATGCCTCACTAATCTGCATCATCTCATAATCTCCCAATGTGTTAATATATTGATAGGAGTTGCTATAGAGAACTTTTTTCTGGGTGTCTGGCTGGTGAGTCTTGCCCACGTGCTCAGGGTTCAGCTGATCGCCATATTTGGGGTCGGGAAGGAATTTTCCTCCAGGGTAGATTGGCAGAGGCCCTGGAGGTTTTTCGCCTTCCTCTGTAGCATGGGGCACGGGTCACTAGCGGGAGGATTCTCTGCATTTTGGGGTCTTTGAACCATCGTTTCAAGGACTTCAATATCTGAGATATAGGCAAGAGGATTATTCTAGCAGTGGGTGGGTGAGATTCTGTGGCCTGCGTTGTGCAGGGGGTCAGACTAGATGATCAAAATGGTCCCTTCTGACCTTAAAGTCTATGAATCTATGAGATTAAAAAGAGTGAAAGGAGATACTAATTATATGGATCACCCCCAAGAGGAATCATCTGAGGGAGGCAGATTACCAGAAGCAGTGGGGGAAGGGGGAAAGTTGGAGAACACTGATGAAAAGGTTGGGGACATGAGATCCTGACCTATTGCATATTAGAAAACGGAGGATTTTCTCTAGCCTTCCAGGTCTCTCTGCTTTCATTTACCTAACATGCACACCAACCCTTGGCGAGCACACCAGCGGTGTGAGGGGCACAGACATTTATGGAGCTCATTTCATTTCTGGCTTTGCTGGATTTTGTGTAACACAATCTCTGACACACATCCAGGGCCCCCAACACTATTGGACAGCAGCCCTTCTTTCCCCTCTGTGAGGAGTTGATAGTGACACAGGGACTTTGCACTCACCTCTGGCAGGGAGAAGATCTCTCACACACATACAAGGTTCTATGCTGCAGGTTATGGAAGGGCTGGACAAGCTGTGTCTGGGGTCACAATCAGCCTTGGAAGTGGCAGGATTCACTGAATTACATACGTGGTTTTCCAACTGTCACAACAAGGAAGCCTGGTAATGAAGGATCTTCTAGAGAATTGCTTCATGGGTATGTCCTCTTACAATGCTTGTCACCTACATCAGGAGTTATGGAGAAAAGTAGTGTTCGAGCCCCAATGTGAGAATTTACTCACCTTGTGCACTAATGATGGTCCTTCAATATGTGTGTTCCTCTAGATGCTCTACTGCAAGTGTGCTTCCATCTGCTCCGTTCCTTCTCCGCTGCAAAGTCGTAAACAAGAACACCAAAGTGGGTGGGTTGTGGAACACAAACAACTAAAACTATTGTAACTGCACAATGTGATTAACTACTACTTCTTCATGAGTGTCCTCAGGGGTGCACCACGGTGTTCCCTCTAACATTTTCTATCCTTGAGCGGGTTGAAATTTCTTATGTGCAATACCAATATTGAAGTAGTGTGTGGATGTGCACCATCAATACAAGCAAAAAACATGTATACACACACACACACACACACACACACACACACACACACACACACACACACACAATCCATGTGTGTGGAAGACAATATATTAAAACATGGGATAGTTAACAAGGAGCAATGCTTACAATATTTAATATGAAATCAAATAAAGAAAATTAACACTACCCTTGGAGTACATGCATCATCAACCTTTCTAATAATTCTAGCTAGTAAACACACCAAAATGCATATTATCCACAAATAGCTCAGGTTTAAGATGCTAAACAAATCTATGAGTCAACTAGAAATAGTATTTCCAAGGACCTCATGACTAATATGATATTTACTAACACTGGAAAGGAGAGTAAAAGGCAAGGCATTCATTAAGACTTATAGTTTCTCTGGGGAATGTTTAGGATTCATGATGTAAAAACAGATGAAAGTATTCCTGTTCAAAACTTTTACCTTGTATATGTCACCAACTTAAATAGTAGAGGCCCCAGAAAAAATTAACACGACTTCAGTGTTTGTAGACAGATGCATGTTTAAAAGAACTTGCAAATAAGGTTTCAGCCTACAAAAGAGGAACTTACTCACCTTGGTGCAGTAACGATGGTCTTCGAGATGTATGTCCCTGTGGGTGCTCCACTGTTGGTGTCAGGTTGTCCCAGCATCGCAGATCAGAGTTTTCAAAAGCAGTAGTCAGCTGGTTACCATTATCAACAGAGCCAGAGACCTGTGAGGACACCGTGGCTGTAAATCTACCTAACTACACTTGTAAGCAAGCGAGCTGTCCTCTGTAGGAGTCGCAATCTAACATGACAGAAAGCCACGATCTAGGGAACCCCCTTCTCCCCTCCTTTCAAATCCCCACAGAGTTTGATGAAGCATGGACCTGCAGGATAACCAGAAAAGGAGGTCCATTTGAATTTAAAAAAGAAAGTGGGGAGACAGGGACTGGTATTCGTCAAGCCATGGTAGAAACTAAAGCTCGAAAGAATAGTAATAAAAGCAAAAAGTCCAGAACTTTGCAATTAATGGCAATGGCTGTGAGATGGCTTAAACAACATGCCACTCTGCTTGCCTCCTAGTTAAAGGAAAAAATCAGAGAAATAGAGGAGGTAACACAGTCAATAGACCACTGGAAAGCACAGGCCCTGCTGACAGGGCAGCAAGCAGTCCAGATGCATGATATGCTTGGACAAGTAAAGGAGGAAAATAAGAGATTGGAAACAGCTGTTGATAACTTGCAAAAAATATGTATCATCCTCTGTTGCTAAGCAAAAGATTTCAAGTGCTATCACAGTGCCTGAAGAATAGGGACAGAAATAAAAAAAAGGTGGCCCTGGCAAAATTGAAAGATGAGCCAGGGTCCACTGCATTACAATCAATATCATATGCTAAAAGCCAGGTTCCGGTCAAACTAAAACCTAGACTGGTGCCTGTCAGTACAGGACAAGTAAGTATCCGGAAAGAAGTAGCAAACAATCCTGACCCAGAATTGGTAAATCAAATCAAGGAAAAAATGGAATGTTTCACAGAGCATATTAGGAGACGGGGAACTGCGACTTAATCGCAGGGGAGTGAATGAAAAAGCATCTGAAAGTGAAACACCAAGATTAAGCAGGTTAACACTTAGAATTGATTTATTAACACATGGAGATGCCTCAAAACAGTTAACTGCAGCATGTAAGGGCACTCCTGCAAGCCATTTGAAATGCAGACAAAAGCAACAGACAGTGGGGGACCAAATTCAGTTTATACAAGAACAGATAACTACCCCCACTCTCTTTGCAGAGCCAGGATAAAAACTCGGGGTGCAAATTCCCAACTGTTTTGACCCACCAAACCGCACTCCATGCTCAGCTAAAAATATATCCTTTTTTTTCTTTTATAGTCTTTCTCCATTTACTAAATTTACTTCTGTCGCCTGTGCCTTAAAACAACTTTGAAAGTTTCTGTCTCTCTGCTCACTACCTTCCTTAATTGCTCTTCACCATCTTTCCCCACCCTCTTCTCACTTTAACTTTTAACACAAAAAGAGAGTCAAGTTTTTTACAGAAACCTCAAAAAGTCAAAGCAATTGAAAACAAAACAGACACAGATTTTTAAAAAGTAAAAAATTTACTTTAAATAAATCTAATAATTATTGTAACCCTTCAGGAATGCAACCAACTTTCTTGAAGGTATGGTTGCTAAGCAACAGACATGCAGGCTGTGTCTACACTGGCATGAATTTCCGGAACTGCTTAAAACGGAATACTATTCCGTTTTCAGTTTTTCTGGAAAAGGAGCGTCTACATTAGCAGGCTGCTTTTCCGGAAAAGCCCTTTTTCCGGAAAAGCGTCTGTGGCCAATGTAGACGCGCTTTTCCGGAAAAGAGCCCCGATCG